TGCACCTGGCGACGGGAGGAGCGGGGGCGGCTGCTATTTTTATGTTGAGTTCGACAGTTGGGCGGCTGAGTGGGAGCAGATCAAAACCTGACGCCATTTCTGCACAGTGAACACTTGAAGATGCATGAAGGCCTTTACTAGCCATGAGCTAGACCCTACACCTCCATCAGGCACACTGCTACACATCAACACACACACATGCCTTAAAAGGCAGCACACCACTCACAGGCCGACCTACTGACCCACTCGAGAGCACATAACTCCACAGCACTGGCTCGCCACCCAAAAGGTAGTGCTAAATACTATGAAAAAAATAAATAAAGTAAAATCATGCAAGTTTGGCCCAAATGTTTAAAGGGATGCTCCACCCAAAAATGAAAATTCTGTCATCATTTACTCGACTTACCCATTTACTTTGTTGCAAACCTGTATGAGTTTCTTTCTTCTGCTGAACACAAAGAAGATATTTTGCATTATGCATTTTAAGGATTTTTTTTTTAAGGATTTTCATTTTTTCTGTGTGTGTTTTAGAAAATAAACAAATTTTAAAATATGTTGGGCTACATCAAATTTTCTGAAGCAAATCCAGTTCAGAGACACTGACCTAAAACACAAAGCAGTTTAAATACACGGGTCCGTTACATGATATTAACTTGTATTAATTTAAATATGCATTTAGATGCTTTTATTAAAAAAAATTAACAAATGCACTAAATTATTCAAAAATACACTAAAAAGCCAATTTATATATACGATGACTTGAATATGTGATGCCATTCATTTTGATAATTGTTTCTTAATATCAAACAAAAAACTATTAAAAAGATACCGATTAATTCTTGACAAATATTTTTGCATTTTATTTCTATTTTTTTTTTAAAGTAGGTTAATTAATAACATTTTCAAAACGTTTGCCTGCCAAATTAAAAGTCATGTGCATGATGTTTGTAAAATAAATAAATAAACAAAAATGCATTCGATGCCTTTTATTTATACACTGTAAAAAATATTGTTGGCTTAACTTAAAAAAGTAAGTAACCTGGTTGTATTAAAATTTTAAGTTCATTGAAATGGAAAAAAATGAGTTAATACAATGAAGGAGATTAATTGAATCACCAGAAACACAAAATATGATGTTATCTGAACTACATAAATTATCTAAGTTGATTTGACAAAAGAAAAAATTTTATGATTACAAATCATGAAACTTTTTTTTTTTTTTTACAGTGATAGCGCTTTTTATAATACAGATTGTTTCAAAGCACCTTTACAGATATAACAGAAAAATAATACAACAAATTTTGTTTCCAGAAGAAAACAGTGTCACAGTCCAGCTTAAGTTCAGTGATGATTCATTTTGTTGTATAAAAATTAATTCAGTCCATTTATATATATATATATATATAGCCACTCTAGAGAGTCATCGTCCAGCTCAGTTCGGTTTTCATAATGGTGTCAATGCAGCAGATCAATAAAATTGTTGAATATTAAATTAAACATAATATTAATTGCATTTAACGACACAGCAAGCCAATGAGGCCTTCACAGGGAGAATATGTTCATTTTTAGAGTAACTACATTAAAAACTTTTATTGAAAACTACTTTTCCAAACCCAACATTAAATTACAGTTCTAAGAATCTGGAACATGCGTTTTAAAGTCGATTTGTAAGTGTCCTATTGTGACCCATATCACAGGTGTTATGAAAGGAAATCAGTCTACTCTCTTTACATGCACAGATCTTTCAAGTTTTCCTTTCTGCCGTCATGACCAAAACCACATTTAGATCTTCCAGGAACCAAACCGGAGTCAAACGGGGCCTGTACGTCACACGAAAGAGTGGGTTTATTCTCTAATGTTGTCACGTCTGACGCAGAGACGAGAAAGCTTGTGTGCGGTGTGTGTCCTGTGGTGCAAAACTGATACTGAACAGGTGGTTTAATACACACTTAGTAAAGGAAACCTAAGTTTCAGCGAAATCAAAGCATGTCAGAAAAAAAAACATGTGACTGATAAGTCAATAAAGTAATAAATGAAATCTAGATGTTGTGGTTAGAAATCATTACAAGGGTAGATAGGGGGTTTTGATGAAACACACACACACACACACTGCAGTTTAGCCACAGTCACATCCAAAAATTTCCAGCGATCGAGTCTTCTCAGAACATTTGGCCTAAACCCCTCAATTTTTAGTTTTACGATCTCTTTATGAACTTTTTGAAGCATCAAAATTGTAGTTGTGTAGCCGTCAATGGAGGGACAGAAATCTCTCAAATTTCATTACCATATCTGCATTTGTGTCCCGAATATGAGGGTGAGTACATGATGACAGGATTTTCATTTTTGGGTGAACGTCCATAAACACTGTCATTTCATAACAGGTACAAAATAAAGTTGTCCATCACATACATCTGCAGAGAAGTCTGTCACTTTACTCTACGTCTCTCACTGCTCTTGTAATCTACATGGCATCCCTGTCAGACACTGCGACATCACCACGGTAACTCCGAGCAGGACAGATCGAGCGCTCAGCCCTCCTCCGAGTGTAACCAAGCAACAGAATCAACTTATATAATCAGCGTTTCATTGATCAGCTGTTGTTATATGACTGGACTCTCTCAGAGCAAACGCCCACACAGACTCATACTGTTGCATTAAAGTGATGCGGCGACATCAGAAAAACATTCAAACTGATTGATGTAGCCCTCAATCGGGTCATGGGGTCTATGCGACCCCAAAAAAAGGTTCCCTTCATCTCAGTGGAATAAGATTTTGTGACTTTTATCTACTGTATCTATACACACACACACACAAAAAAAACTGGGCTTGATTCGGTTGTTCTGAAGGTATGTAAAAAAACGCTTACACTTCTGGTCTTTGGGGTCATATAACCCCATATTGAAATGAATGGGAAATGTGAAAAAAAAAAAAATCCGGCATAAATCTGAAAATTTTTACACAGAAATGAAGGCCTAGTACTAGAGCATAAATGCAATGTATCATAAACAAATTATATTTCATATGCAGGCTAATGGTGTAGTTTGGAGTTACAAAAGTACTTTATATCTCCAAAAACACAGCATTAATGAATAGATGAGAAGTAAACAAAAAAAATGATATATTATTTGTATGATTAAACATATATATCTTTTGTACAATTACTCAAAAAAATACGTCGGCGTCATATAGACCCCGAACTCGAAGCCCACAAGTGTAAACAGGAAACGAAAACCATTTGAAGGTTAAATAGTAACTGGGATATTTATGTTATTTTAAATGTCTGTCTTTGTTGTGGTGGTTTTAGCAGGTTGTATTTCTGACATAATTTATGTATTTATTTATGTTTATGAACATATACATAATATATTTGATAAAAAAGCCATTTTAACTGTTAATTACCAGTGTTTGGGAAAGTTACTTTTAAAATTAATGCATTACAAAATTGCGCTACTCCATAAAAAAGTAACTTATTGGGAAAATAATACATTAGCTATACTTTTACGTTACTTTTTCTCAACTGAGCTGGGCTTGCTTTGTGTTTTTAATAACAAAAAACTATTTTTTAGCCAAAAAAAAAAATACAAATAATATGTTTATATAAAAGTATTTTTCACATATTTGTATAGTTTAATGGGATCATCAAAAGGTCAGCAATAAGGAGATTGGAGGACAAATGAAATTAAATGCATTAATTATTAATATTCTGAGTTTTTGCATTTCAACGATTTTATTAATTTTGAGGGATCTGAAACTTTTTGTGTGCATGTGAGATGAGTGAATGCATGCTAACATTCAGTGTAGATCTAAATTAACCATCTTGTTTGTACACAAGCGCTCAACATGTGGATGAGAGAGCTGTCAGGCAATACATGGGAAAACAAAGTAACTTGAAAAAAGTAATCAGATTACATTACTTGCATTACTTGCAACAAGTCATTACATTACAAGAGAGAGAGAGAGAGAGAGAGAGAGAGAGAGAGAGAGAGAATGTAGTCTATATTAAATACAATATGTGGTTTAAATACTATGCAAGTCTTAAATACTAAAACAAATATCTATCCAACAGAAAAGGCCTTGCAACATTATATTACACACAAACAGTCTGCTCCAGGACCAGCACACATGAGGAGCAGTAAAGGGTGATCATGTTATTCTCCCTGAGCACATTCAGTCCATTATGCAATGAAGCCTATCCCCCGTAGCCATGCATCTGAAAGACCCCTTTACCTCCAGACACACACTACAGAAACACATCTGCACATTCCACACAAGTGAAGCCTTCTCAAACACAACACATGAGGAATTCCCGCAGCCACTGACTGTTATCTGACCAAATAATCTGTGACTGACAACCAGTGAACCCCATCAAGCATGGAAACACACATCCTTGCGCAAGTTCTGTTTCTTATTCAACACTTCAAGAACTTTAATAGTTTAAAATTCTCTGAATATTCGCATTGAAAATCTAACCGTCACTGTAATATTTGCATACTGGCTTGTTCTCCGTCCTTATTTATTTGCATTTGCATGATGATTTTTCAACTTGATTAGCCTTGTCTTATAGGCTACTTATACATAAACACAACATGTTTGCCGCATTCATACACTGATTTCATTTACCCTGAACCGGAGCATTATCTGCACCTATAATGTTGCTCCACTGCAAGTAAACTGATATTTACCATCCATATGGAAATACAAAATCTAGTGTACAGCGTGAGCTGCAGTGTGTGAAGTAACCTAGTGTGTTCAGAGCCATTTGGATGTCACAGCAGGGTTTTCATAACGGAAATAAACAGCAGAAGATACACGTCCATCGCGAGGATCGTGGTGTGAGTGTCCTGACACACTGTAGCGACTGCAGTGTCAGTGAAGTGTGTGTGTGTGTGTCTGGCTGTAGCACTGACACGAGTAGCATATACAGTGAACACGCATATTCCACGCTTGTGCCTGTACTCGCCATGTCTGCTGCAGAAGAATATTTATTAATACACACTCACCTAAACTACCGGCGAAACCGTCCATTTCTCGGGTAAATATCCAGGGAGATATTCCTGGAGCGACCGGGGGAATTCGTCCTCTATGTGAGAAGAAAGCCTCGAGCTCGTGTGATGTCACGCGGGCTCCTCTGATCGGCTTAATGGCACGAATAAAGGGACGACCTGGCTAGCGGCTGGTTCTCCGTCCGGGTAACGAGGCGCTTCTCTGGGGCAGTCGATCACGGAGTCTGCCTGAGCTTGAGCTGCTCCACCACGGTCGGTTACTCCTCCTGCGGGCGAGGGAGGGAGTTTAAGGAGCGCTGGGCTTTCGCGTTTCCGACTCCGCCTGCTTTGGCACGGCGAGCTTCCCCTCAGACTGGCCGAGCCCGAGTGCGCCACAGTCTGACACTACGGAGCATCTCAATATGACAGCTCAGGTCCTCAAGTGCACACTGCTGTAGCTACACTACTTCAAACGTCATTTGTTTGTTTATGCATTTGTATTTTTTTTTTTTTTTTTGCTTGACCCTCAACTAGTTATCATATTGCTCCATATATACATGCATTTAATGCATGCATTTAAATCATAAACATATAAGCCAAATCGGTTTGAGTTTTTTTTCGTTGAATCGGTTGAATCACGGTTGAATCGTTCAACCGTGGTGATATCATGTTCTTGTAGGCTACTGTGGCAAGCCGTTTAGACTTTTATTCATTCCCAGGATTGATATAAACAATTTAATTTTCACTAGTTAAAATGCTAATACTTGAATTAGCCTACATTCCTCTAGTAAAAATAGGAATTCTTGATTTTAGCAATGACGTCATCACTCGCAGAAATTTTTGATATCAATAATAAAATATTATTAATGGATAAGACAGTGGATAAGACACATGCCTTTGGTGTGAGAGACCCGGGTTCGAATCCACTGTGAAACACCAATGTGTCCCTGAGCAAGACACTTAACCCCCACTGTAAAAAAATATTGCTGGTTAAACTTAAAAAAAAATAAGTAACCTGGTTGCCTTAAAATTTTAAGTTCTTTGAAATGGAAAAATTAAGTTAATACAATGAAGGAGATTAATTTAATCACCAGAAACTCAAAATATTATGTTATCTGAACTACATAAATTATCTAAGTTGATTTGACAAAAGAAAAAAAAAATGTGATTACAAATCATGACTTTTTTTTTTTTTGTAAGCGACTTACAATTGCTATATATGTCAGGCGTGCAACCTCTAACATATATAGCAATTGTATGTCGCTTTGGATAAAATCGTCAGCTATGAATAAATGTAAAATGTAAATTTAAAATTTCAACTGGTAAAAATAATACTTGAAAAAATATAATTCTTGATGTCTGTAATTGCATTTTCCCTAGTTAAGTGTCACCATAGGCTGCCATTCAAATTGTTGATCAAACAAACAATTTGATGATTTCTTAGTTGAAAATTTTAGAATTTCTGACATGTGAAATTAAAATTTCAACTAGTAAGAAATCAACTCTGGATATCATCCATTGAATGTGAATGGCAGCTGGTGAAAATACAATTACAGATATCAAAAATTATTGTTTTTACCAGGATCAAGAATCAAGAATAACTAGTGAAAATGTAATAATATCAAGAATTCATATCAAGTTAAAACAGCTTGCCATATACCTTGGAAATACCACCGTATTCTTCTGAAATACTGTGAAATACCAACACTTACAAAAAGTACTTTGGAGAACATGTAAATAGTAAAATACAGGGTTGTATTTGAAAGTCCATCTAAAAGATTGAGTCGTCATTACGGTATGTAGACTTCATTACATTGAAGTCCACTTTATGGAGAAAAATCCTGGAATTTTTTCCTCAAAAAAATATTTTCCTTTATTTCCTCAAAAACAAAATTTCTTTTCAACTGTTGAAAGAAAGACATAAATATCTTGGATGACGTAGGGGTGAGAAAATCATCTTATTTTAACTTTGAAGTGAACTAATCCTATCAGTGGTCTAAATTATTTTTTTTCTACATAATATATCGTCTATGGAAGGCGTAAGAGTGTAATAAGTTCCTCCAGTCATTGCATTCGGTCTCCAAAAATTGTCTTTAACTATCAAAATGGGGTTAACAATTTAGATCAATAGTCCACTTTACTGTACAGTTTCTACTAACAATATGTAACTGTACAACTACATGTCCATTAACGCTCAGTAGAAGACCGTCTAACACTTTATTTTGATGCTCCTCTACAGACATTCTACTTACTATAAGTAACTTTGCAACAACAATATCTAAGCTTATTCTGCTTACCCTAACCCTAATTTATATTTTGAATATTTAAGTGGACTATCGAAATAAAGTGTGACCAAAACGTGTTGGGAGAACATCTGCCCCACAGCTGCCCACTGCTGGTTTTGAGCACATTGTGTAGGTGTTCAGTACACACTGGACCATTAAGGTAGTGGGCAAGGAAAATGTACACCATGGATTGTTAAACTATTGCAGCATGGCTGCAAATTCCACATGCCAAGAAATGTTTCACATGAAGAATCCCAATGATTTAAGAGGTATCTATAAGCTATAAGTGTTTCTGGAGCAGAATGTGGGGTTTTTCCATGCTGGAGATTCAAATCATTTGATTAAGCGAATATAGAAGGCGCCAGAAACATCATGTCGTCTGGCCACTCAGCACAGGACCTATTAGAAAACAGAAATGCCAAAGGTTCAGACTATTGTGTTGGCCAAAAAGGCGCCCTCTGTGAGTGACTGCCGCTTCATGCTGAGTCTTTGCAAATATGAGGACTCATTGTCAAATGAGCTGGTGCACTGGATCAGGACAGAGGCAAGATTGTCCTCAAGGTTGACCCTTGAATCAGCATGATGGGATCTTCTCTGAGAGATTATGGGAAAGAGACGTGTGGATCTCCCGATGACTTCCCGGCAGAGTCCCATCTTTCTCTCCAGACAGAAAAAGAGAAAATCAGACAAAGCTCTCTTTATTTTTCACTCCTGAAGCAAGAGGGAGGGAAAAGGACTGGAGAAATCTTTCTTTCTCTTTGTTTTCTCTCTCTGTCTCTGGGCCAGTGGAGAGAAAGACACGCAGGCCAAAGCTGTGGCTCGGCTGTGCAGTAGCTCTTTTTCTTACACTTTGAAGATGATGAATCACCCAAACTCCAGCCAGTATGGTGGGCATTAATAATTCATCAGATGACTATGGGAGTTTAAGAATATGTTGAGTGTTAAACATTTGCAGTGAGTCATCCCATGCATTACGGCTAACTGTTGCCGCTTGGCGTTATTTTCCTTCCAAGTCTCTTTTTGGCAAATTGCACAGCATTCAAAAGGCCCGATCCAGATGTGAACAATGCACTGTTTGGCCAACATAAGCCAGTTTAAACCTCACCTTGACCTTTGCTGGGAATACAAATAAATCTGGGTAAAATTCAATACACATTCCCTGTCAGAGATGATGAATAGAATATTTAACACAATTTTACAGTATACCACTCGAGGACTGAAGCATGAGTTCATGATCCATTCACCAAAAACTTTGCCAGTGAATGTGTTTGGCGTAATATACTGAACATTTGCAGTTGTTAATAATTACTTAAATTAAATGATAATGTACATTAAATAATGCACATTAATTCATAAAAAGACACAAAGTATAGTTATACATAAAAGTAAATTACCTTGAGCCCCTTTCACACAGAGATTCCGGAAAATACACGGATAATGTGACCCGGCATTTGTCCCAGGATTGTTTGATTTCGGTTCATTCACACTGCCAGTGATTTGCCGGGATCTGTGAGTGTGTTCTCACACAACCCGTAAAGATCAGGATGAGACGTGTAACGTACACGTCGAAAACATGTACACGCGCATACCGTTCCACAAAGCTGGTGAACGATCTCAGCTTCAGTGCGGACAGGGACGAGCAGTGCAGACATTTGTTCGTCCTTTTTGTTGATGACGAACACAAACTTTCTTCTAAGAGCAACGGAGTCGCGCGATGGCATGAGCGTCATCACTATGACACACCCCTTACGGCATTGGTCCTGGCTTTTGTTCACACAGCGCAAGTTCCGGGACTGATGTTACTAGGTCCCCAACCCGGCATCGATGCCGGTATCAACCCCGGGTCGAACACAGAAGGCGTTCTGGCAATTTCCCGGAAATTTCCCGGGATCAACGCGCTGTGATCACAGCCTAAAGGTCTCAGTACACTGAATTTGTAAAATAGCTATAATCACAGCTGTATCGATAACACTATTTCTCTTTTAGTTTGGTCAAAAAAGGGAAATACTGTACCAATTGGGATCACGCTTAGAGATCCTGTCATCTCCTTAATGCACATTGGTGTCAGGGGGGTAATCCATCGACCGGAAGTTGAAGCCTCGCGGGAGCTGATATCTTGTAGCAGAACTTCACTTGCGTTAGCATTCCCATTGACTCCCATTCATTTTGGCGTCACTTTGACAGCGAATAACTTTACATCTGAGGCGTTTGAAGACCCCATTTGTCCTTTATTTATTTCTAAAGAAACACAACAATGTATAAATAGCTCCATTACCTTGTAGCGTCATACGCTTGATTGAGTCATACCCACGTGACTCTCTGTCGCACAGAAAAGAGATTACCGTATGGACAGGAGAAGAAGCTCGCCTGGAATCGGGGAAACGTGGAGGGAAAAAAACAAAATTGTTAATCAGAATACCTAGCAAAATTGTCTCTTGCTCCTCGCTCATGGACAGCTCCTATTCACACTCTCCGCCTCTGCATGTTTCGGAAGGGAATGATTCAGATTTCTCATGCCACAGCACTAGAAGACAGACGGGTTGCTCTCGTCACATCTACATAGTCAAGCTTTGATTGAGTCTGCGCGTCAGGGACGGAAGTGCTAAAAAAAATCGCCAAAAACGGGCTTCAATCGTCTCAATGGAGTTCCAATGAGATCGCTCTGTCCATTTCTTTTACTGTCTATGATTGGTGTGCGAGAAATGCATCACACGCTCCGCAGCCCGGGTATAAATACGTAAGTGGATGCACGCACTTGTCTTTCGCTTCGGAGCCGATTGGTGTCGATGTCTCTGAAGAGTGTTGTTGAGTACAATGAGCGAGTATGTCGGTGTTCTTCGGGAAGGCTCTCCCAATGCTGATGGTTTCTACAGCTTGAGTGCAGCGGTGATCGAGAGGAGTTCTGAGCTCTGTTTAACGGCATAAAATTTCTGTGTTTGTTGACGGTTGGTTAAAGGGCGAAGAAGAGAGTGCTTCACTGTTACAGTTTCACTTTCAGTGTTGCCGCTGCCATTCCCCTGTGTGCTCCGGCACTGGTGACAGGTCCCATTTTCCGGGTGCGTTTGCGTCTTCTTCAAGATGCCATTCCATCCGTAAATTTCTGGGTGCGGTATAGGGATCTGTCCGCCTCTGATGGTCACAATTGTTGCATCACGTGTTTGGGCTTAAAGCATGCTGAAGCAGCTTATGGATGGTTCACGTTACCATTGCAGGAATATGACCATCTCGGTGTTGAGATCGAGTCCGCAAATGTCGAGTCCCCATTTCCCCATTCCAACGCCTCTGCTTTAGTGTTTCTTCTGGGTCAACTTTCCAGAAGAAGACTGGAGTGCTATGTGGGTTGGGTGATCTGAGGATCACAGTGAGGGGTTCCCCGCCCGGAAAAGCCCCATGGCACAGGCATGTAGTAGCAGGGGTCTGGGCAGGCCTCCGACTGCATAGGCATCAATTGCCTTGAGTTGCTAGTAGCACACCTTGCTTTGAGATGCTGTTGCTCAGCAAACCCGTACTGGTCTGTACAGACAACACTGCGATTGTTGCACTACGCTACCCTTGAATGTCCTTGGAGTCAGAAGCTTCTGAAGTCACTTCATTCCACTAATTTTTCTGGCCTCACGACAGCCTGTGGCCCAGGGAGTGTGGAGATTCCATCCCCAACTGCCGCCTACAAATCCATGGGGAAGCATTCCTGAGTCGGGTTCCTGAGGGGAGATTACTGAGGGGAGGAAGGAGACTGAATCCCCCTTGTGCCCCCTCTATACCCTCTTGGGACTTGTCCAAACTTTGAGCCACTCCAGGCAGCTGAGTTAAAAATCTGTTTTTAAAAGAACATTTTTCCTGCTTGCTTGTACTTTTTCAAGGGAGTAGGGGACCTGCACGCATTTTCAGTCGACAAATCCTTGCTGGAATTTGGGCCAACTCTATCCTGAGACCCCAGCCTGGATATGTGCCCAAGGTTCCTACCTCAAGGTGTGCCGTGCCCCCATGGGTGGTGAGCCTCTCCAAAGAGAGAGCATAACTCCTTCCTAGGCGTTGACACAAGGTGCCTCGCTGACAGAGGTTTTTAGAGCTGCGGGCTGGGCAACATCTCACGCAAGAGAAAAAATAGCCTGTGTGTTCAGCCGGGTCTCTTCCCATGGGCTCCCTTCAAATGAAGCCAGTTTCACTGTAAGCCAGGTTCTAAGTGTCGGCTTGCTGCGCCATTCCCCTCCTGTGGACTGTGGACTGGATCGAGGCCGTTCTTGCTCCAGTAGAGTTCCTCTTTAGCCGAACCCTGTTGAGTTCCTCCACACCCTTCTGCAACGGACGTGGTGGAGTGTCCAATGTCAGGCCTAACACTCGTATGCACTGGTGGAACCTGTGTAGGGCTGGCACCATATGCTGTGATCCCTACGGTGATCCCATATGTGTATTCTTCCACTGTCTTCCCTTGGCAGAAGCCTGCTCTGCCGTCACTGTCCGTTTGAGTCTCCCCTTTTATAGGCTGGAGCCGCCCCAGTGACATTCCATATGTTGTACTGCCGAGTAACGCCCAGTCCATATGTGCATCCTCCACATGTTACCTCCATACAGGCAGGATGTGGCTTCCACAGCGTATTCCTTTCCAACAAAGGGAACGCTTGCCAGTGGTCTTGTGGAACAGCAGTGACTTCCCTGGACTAAGACTTGTCCCATCTCCACCTCAATAATGCGGTGGGGATCAGAAGGCTTTTGTCTAGGCACTGGACAGCACTAGTTGCGTTTTAATGGGGATCCCAATCCGCACATCTCGGTTACGTTTGTAACCCTCGTTCCCTGATAGAGGAAACTGAGACGTAGTCCTGTCTCCAGTACTGCTGGACCACCGCTGACTCCGGCCTCCGCTCGGCTCCTCAGTGAAAAACAACTGGTGCATACGTGGATCCACCGCCGTATTTATCCCCACTCTGCGAGGCGGAGCGTGTGATGCAATTCTCGCACACCTATGTGCATTGGCTCATGTAAACATCATCAGCTCATGTAAACATTTGCAGTCAATCAGACTTAAGCTCAGGCATTTAAGTGGCAGATGACATGCACTTATAATAAACAGAACATTATCTTGCAATATTGTGGACACTTAAAGGTGCCCTCTGGCATTTAAAATCAAATCATACAACATATTCCATACCAGATGGGGGCAGTATACCTCCAGAAATACCTCCACGGCCACGCGCACTGTCATGTCTTCAAACAATACGGGCGAGCGGTGTGTTGCTCTGTCTCCCTCGTGCATATTAATCAAATCAATTGAAACGATAGTAAAAGGTTGGAAGACCGCAGTTTCACGTGGAGCATTTGAAGATTTTTACAGATTAGAGACTAAATGAACGACATCTCAATACTAAATTATAAAGGCCGTCTCATAGACAAGCCGGTGCATTTCGACGATATGGGAAAATTAAAGCCCAGGCTATTATTTTTAGTTTTATGATATTCGTTTTGTTCATATTACATTTTTAGCATTAGTTTTAATTAATTTGACAGACAGCATCCCTGATGTGGACCAAGCTAGCGCCTTTCAGAGCTGCCAACTCTCACAACACTTTTCACACACTCTCACGCCACACATCAATTTTGTCATGCACAGAAAAGGACACGGAGACCGATGTCAGCTCAGATTCTGTTAATTTTATTACGCAATTGAAACAATAAATACAGTTTTGGCGCTTTACACGACAGATCCCTAACGCACGTGAACCGATCATCTCTACTAGCTAATGGTAAAAGAACACGAACACTGTTGAAAGATTTTTTTTTAACTCATCCCTGAACTGAAATGTAGTAGTGGGGTGTATTTTCCACACGACTGACATCAGGTTCAAGTACACACAAGCCGCCGACTTACTCGTGTACTGCAGTTTGGCTGGTGGTAATGTTGCCTGCCCGCATACCGCCTCCCATGGCCAAAACTGGTATTACGACACCTGCCGGGCCGGGGCTAGTAATTTAGCATGCTAATTCAGGTTAATATCTCGACAGCACTATAACTTGTCATTTTTTTAATTACATCATCAACCTTATTTCTTCTCATTCTTTTGATGTGTAGCTCATTTTTGGGATATTTTAACCTCAATTTTTACAGATGGCACCTTTAAGTTATCTTTATCATTCTTTGTGTGAATGGGCCTTTAAAATCTTCAGGCTTGTTTCACAGACAGGGCTTAGATTAAGCCAGGATTAGGCCTTAATTTAATTAGGACATTTAAGTAGCTTTTGTTAATGTGCCCTGAAAACAAACAACAGTACTGATGTGCATCGTGAGACAAAACAATGGCACTGACCTATTTGAAGATATATCAGTGCAAGTTGCTTTCATTCAAAATAGCTCAAACATGCATTTTAGTCTGGGACTGAATTTAAGCCTGAATGTTTGCAAATATAAATTGATTTCTTTTTCAAAAACATTAAATGAATGTTTTGTTACTGGTAAATATGAGGTTTGACAAGCAGTAACAAAAACATGCATGCAATTTATGTATAAAAAAATGTTTTGGCTAAAGAAATCAATCTTTTTTGAGTTATAATAACTTAAAATAAAATCTTGTTCAATCAACAAACTACATTGAGTTTTTAATTACTCAAAAAAAAATTAGGCTCTTCAAACTAATTGCAACATTATTGAGCGCTGGCCCTGTAATCAATGAATCTCATCTATTTCAATTCAAATGAACAGAAAGTGATTCATTGGAGACGATGCCAATCATGACTGTCTGCCGCTTGATGCAGGAATACACACTCGGGCTGCAAAAGTATCTTTTCCGACTGATGTTCATTCAAGAGTATTTATTTAAATTAACAATTAATAACAGAATTAATTATAATTATACTGTATAAAATAATATAAATTATTTCACATATGACATTTGAGGCCATCATTTGTGGACACATGTAACTAATCACTCTTTACTTGATTTGCATTAATTAATTGGATGGTTTTGGTTTGCTATTGGTGGATCTCACATGAGTGACAGGTTGACCCGCCATCGTCATCAGAGAAGAGAAGAGATACATTTTTTCAGAGACACCACAAAAGACTTGTCTTTTGAAAATTAAAATAGAAGAAATGAAATATGAAATATAATGTTGCCTTTAAAGAATATCACTGCCTTTGTCTTCAGAAGAGATGTCAGAAGAGAAGTGTTTTAGCATAATTTAGCCCAGTAGTGTTTTAAATGCTTATTTTGTTCAATTATTTCTGTATGCACATGTACTCATTGAGAAAATTAATTGAAAACAATACTTATTTACCATCATTCCATGATAGGCTACTTTTTTCCCCACAATTTTTACCTGTGCAATCGCTCCCTCTAGCGGCTGCTGTGAGACGGTACATTACAGCCAGAGCCCCGCGCGCGCGCTCGTGTGTGAGTGTGTGTGTTCAAGTAATCCTGTAGGCTGAACGTGACATCACTCTCCTCAGCTGAAACTGTTATATCAGTCCTGGTTTAGTGGTTTAATGATGTGGACAGCTGATTAATGGCTCTCCGTCATGAGGTCTGGATGGTGATGGTGAGAGGATCCCTGGGGAACTGGAAGCCATCTGCGTGCTAGTGCTGAGAGACAAATGTGTATGATGGTGGGCTCATTAGCCATGTTTTCATAACCCCATTAAAACGCAATTCTTTGCTGTGTTTTACACTAATTGGTGTACATTTGTGGTGAGGGGGTAAAATCATTTTACATGCTATCATTACCTCCTGTATGGGAACTCTAGATGTGAGCGTACTGTAGGGAACACCCACAAGTCCACAAAACCTTACTCACAAATACAGATGTTCTGGCTGCATATGAAGATACATTTTTTATTCAACATTAGGGTTTGAAAGTTGGATTTCAAACAGTTCTGTTTGAGATTCTTCATTTTTCTTAAACCACTTTTGTTTGCAATAAAACGCCTCAGATTGCAAACTCTAATTCAATGATTCGTTTGTGTCATCAATCAGAACTATTTTATATATTAAAATGGTTTAATAAATATGCAAGCCATGTGTAGATAAATACTGTCTTACTTCCTGACAAACAAACTTTTTTTTTTTTTTTTTTTTTACAAAAAGTAACAAGTAAAAAAGTACTTTTTTTTCTTAAACAAAACGTAACATTTTTAATATGTTAATATGACGATAAAATTCACCCATTTCAGGGTGACATAAATGAATACATTGAAATTTTTTATTGGCACATTGTAAATCACAACAAATCAGAGCATATTTGATTTTCAATATTGTCTACAGTGTGATTTTGGACCAATGAGATTCTGCTGTCTGGTTATTCAGTATTTTCAATTTTGACATTTTTTGGTCAAACCGGTGTTGTCTTTCAGTCATATAATGCAGGTTTAGGGGGTCCACCTGGTTAAATGTCTGGTTATTCAGACAAATTAAAGGGATAGTTCACCCAAAAATGAAAATTCTGTCCGTATTTACTCACCCTCATGTTGTTCCAACCCGTAAGACCTTCGATCATCTTCGGAACACGAATTAAGATATTTTTGATTAAATCTGAGAGCTGGATCACTCCTCCATTGGCTTCTGAGGGATTGAAAAGAAAAGTTAAAGACATTGTTAAAATAGTGCGAGTGAGTGGCTCAACCTTGTGCAGCTTGTTTTGTTTTTTGTACACAAAAAGTATTCTCCCCGCCCACTGTAGTCACTTTTTTACTGTAGACTATTTTAACGATCGTTGTCTTTAATAACTTTTCTGGGCCGGCAAGTTTCAATCCCTTAGAAGACTATGGTAGGGTGACCACCATAAAAAAAACAAATGTGATTATAAGTTTGTGTGGGACAATGCGGGACATGTTATCAGCACTAAAACATACCCTAAAACTTAACTTAATAAAAACGTTTGTATTCTGCCTTTCAGCTGATCAAAATTCTTTGTTCTTCAGTCCCTTCCAGAAAAAAAAAAATCTTTATTTTACATGTCATTTAAATTCAACATCACTGAGCCCAAAGCAGCTCCAGGCAGTCCAACTAAATAAAATATAAAACAACATGAAATTAGATAGACCGTATTATATATTAAAGGGATAGTTCACTTTGAAATTAATTTTTGATATGTTTTAGCTTACCTCAAGGGCATCCACGATGTAGGTGTCTTTGTTTCCACAGTATTTTCAATTTTGACATTTTTTGGTCAAACCAGTGTTGTCTGTCAGTCATATAATGCAGGTTTAGGGAAAGAGCATGCACAGAGAAGTCCAGATTAAAGATGATTTAATGACTCGTAAATGTAAGTAGCCTACACGTTGATGGCGAAATCTTCGTGTAAACAATGCGTGACATAGCGCGAGAGATCACTTCCGGCGTAACGTCTGGAACCAGTAACCATTAGCAACAGACAAACCTGAGAGGAGATCAACTCAGCCTTTATATTACGTTCGAATTCGGGGTGTGATTTGGTGCGGGTCAAATGGAAACTATATTTGGATTCAAGACAATACACCAAAAATCACACTGTTAAAAAAAAAAAAAATCTTGTAATTTTATTTTTTAAATATAATAATAAATAAACATGAGAACACATGCTTTTCAATTGTAACTATTTCTCAAACGACAAGATCATGCTTTTGTTTCCCAACTAAATTAACATGCTTGAACAGATTATTTGGGTAAAAGCATCTGCCACATGCAAAATTGTAAAAGTAAATTGCAAAACTGACATGACAAAACACATAGGGGAAAAATGCGGGTCAAACTGACACGCGAACATCACAACATAATTGTGATTTACGTTCGGTACGAACATTCCCCGATACATCAGAGTGTCGGCACTTCGTGACCCTAAAGGAGAAAAATTCACAAAACTTGAAGAAAAAACACTGACCCGCTACATAATATAAGCACTAGAGATGTGATGTTTACATCTGGAAGACGTATTTTTAAGAGTGTTTGCTCATCTGCAATACGTCTATAGGACGTTTCCTGCAGACGTTTAGAAGATGTCTCTAAGATGTAATGATTTAGAATGCATATTAAACTGACATCTTATAAACGTCTATTTGACATCTGACAGGAAACGTCCTATAGACGTCTTGCAGATGAGCAAACACTGTTAAAAATACATCTTCCAGATGTAAATGGGACATCAAACACCCTTGTGCTATCTAGGATAGGACGTTTCCTGCAGATGTCAAATAGACGTTTAGAAGATGTCTCTAAGATGTAATGATTTACGTTGAAAGCATGTTAAACTGACATCATCTAAACGTCTATTTGACATCTGACAGGAAACTTCCTATAGATGTCTTGCAGATGAGCAAACACTGTTAAAAATACGTCTTCCAGATGTAAATGGGACATCAAATACCCTTGTGGTATCTGGGATAGGACGTTTCCTGTCAGATGTCAAATAGACGTTTAGAAGATGTCTTTAAGATGTAATGATTTAGAATGCATGTTAAACTGACATCTTATAAACGTCTATTTGACATCTGACAGGAAACGTCCCAGACGTCTTGCAGATGAGCAAACACTGTTAAAAATACGTCTTCCAGATGTAAATGGGACATCAAATACCCTTGTGCTATCTAGGATAGGACGTTTCCTGCAGATGTCAAATAGACGTTTAGAAGATGTCTCTAAGATGTAATGATTTACGTTGAAAGCATGTTAAACTGACATCATCTAAACGTCTATTTGACATCTGACAGGAAACGTCCTATAGACGTCTTGCAGATGAGCAAACACTGTTAAAAATACGTCTTCCAGATGTAAATGGGACATCAAATACCCTTGTGCTATCTAGGATAGGACGTTTCCTGCAGATGTCAAATAGACGTTTAGAAGATGTCTTTAAGATGTAATGATTTAGAAAGCATGTTAAACTGACATCATCTAAACGTCTATTTGACATCTGACAGGAAACGTCCTATAGACGTCTTGCAGATGAGCAAACACTGTTAAAAATACGTCTTCCAGATGTAAATGGGACATCAAATACCCTTGTGCTATCTAGGATAGGACGTTTCCTGTCAGATGTCAAATAGACGTTTAGAAGATGTCTTTAAGATGTAATGATTTAGAATGCATGTTAAACTGACATCTTATAAACGTCTATTTGACATCTGACAGGAAACGTCCTATAGATGTCTTGCAGATGAGCAAACACTGTTAAAAATACGTCTTCCAGATGTAAATGGGGCATCAAATACCCTTGTGCTATCTAGGATAGGACGTTTCCTGCAGATGTCAAATAGACGTTTAGAAGATGTCTCTAAGATGTAATGATTTACGTTGAAAGCATGTTAAACTGACATCATCTAAACGTCTATTTGACATCTGACAGGAAACGTTCTTAGATGCATTTGTAGATGAGCAAACACTGTTAAAAATACGTCTTCCGGATGTAAACACACACATCAAATAGACTTGTGCTATCTGGGATGTGTCACGTGATGGATACTGATGCGTATGTGCGAATGACCTTTACGTAGAAGTGTTTAAACATATTAAAATACATTTTAGAATGACGCTGAGAGAAAAGTGTAAATATATTGCTTTTTTATATGCTCGAGTCTTGACTGTTGGCACAGTGGAGCATTGGGCCAAAGTTTCCCAGCATTCATTTCACACCCCCTCTCGCCTGAAAGCCCAGTAATCTAAACTTTCATTAAGGCCCCAGACCCCCTGCTAAACCTCATTACTTCATATAAACCCTCGACCCAAAGCCCCCACTCCAACACAACGCTACAAAAACACACAACAATTCGTGGAGTTGTACGAACACATGCGCATTGACATTATGACACACGCTACAAAAATGAGTGTATTTTTGTAACACCCAGAAGAAACAAAAAAAATATTTGTGTGACCTATGGCACATCTCGCTTACTTTCTTCAGTAATTCCCTTTAAATGCTCACACCCAGAGCTTTCCATGCGAGCCGCGTAAGCTGGCGCAGAGATGGAGGGCAGATAAACGGGTACGAAGCGGAGCGGAGTCATTAAGGACGTGTTGATGGAGGGATTTTGAATTATGGCGGAGGTAGAGGGAGGAGAGGGGCGCAGAAACAAGACGCCTGACTAGAGACCCTCCTTTAGAGCGCTTTCCACTCGAGTCCATTCTGTTTATGTGTGGGCTTCACAAGGCGCCAACACTTTCAACACAACTGCTCCTCATATGAATGAACAATCCACTCCCTGTCTGCTCACGTTTGCTTTCATCAAACACCGCCAGCGCTGAAACCATCTATTAGTTCAGGTCTCAAAGCTACGAGGGGGAGAACGCTGCCTGAAATGGCGGACGGGACGCAGCTACGGCGTGAGTTTGACGCAGAAGTATAAATTGGGCTTTAGGGTTAGAATAGCTAACGTGTAGTTGCAAAGTTACTTATAGTCCGTAGAATGTCTGTCGTGGAGCATCACAATAAAGTGTTTGCAGACATTAAAGGAGTAGTTCACTTTTGAAAAAATTTTTGCTGATAATTTACTCACCCCCATGTCATCCAAGATGTCCATGTCTTTCTTTCCTCAGTCGAAAAGAAATTTAGGTTTTTAATGAAAACATTGCAGGATTTTTCTCCATATAATGGACTTCAATGGGAACCGGATGGTTCAAGGTCCAAAAGACAGTTAATAACTGTTTCAAATGTCTTTAAACGACACCAGACGATGAATAAGGGTCTTATCATGCGAAACGATCGGTTATTTCAAAAATTATTACAAAAAATGCAACTTTTCTAAGGACAAATGCTAGCCTTGCTCTATTCTGTGAGGCGCGTTTGCAACGTCACGTATTACGTAATTACGTTCAAAAGGTCACGGACGACGTAGCCGAAAGTACAGAGTCAGTGTTTACAAGTTGAATGCATAGGTTGAACGTGCAAACTAACTCAAACACCGTTTACAAAAAAAGGAATTAAAAGGAAAAACAACGATGTCGGACAATTTTGTTTCTGTACTTCCGGCTACGTCGCCCGTGACCTTTTGAACGTAATTACGTATTACGTGACGTTACAAACGCGCCTCAGAGAATATAGCAAGGCTAGCATTTGTCCTTAGAAAAGTTACATTTTTGGAATAAGTTTTGAAATAACCGATCGTTTCGCATGATAAGACCCTTATTTATCGTCTGGTGTCGTTTAAAGACATTTGAAGCTGCATCTGAAACTGTTATTAACTGTCGTTTGGACCTTGAACCATCCGATTCCCATTGAAGTCCATTATATGGAGTAAAATCCTGGAATGTTTTCATCAAAAACCTAAATTTCTTGTCGACTGAGGAAAGAAAGACATGGACATCTTGGATGACATGGGGGTGAGTAAATTATCAGCAAAAGTTTTTTCAAAAGTGAACTAATCCTTTAAGCAGAGAGACTTCTAATACTCCAATGACTGCTAGTTGGAGTTAGCAAAACGTTTAAAGTGGACCATCGAAATAAAGTGTTACTCAAGTTTCAATAGAAATTACATTGAAGTATATTTTAGTTTTTTGGTAAATCGCATCCTACTTGTATCATAATAGGACT